CCACTCGGTGCAGATTCATACTGCTATATAGCTGTAGTTTGCAATGTTAACTCTGAATATTTGAGTCTTGTGTGTCCCTGTGTGTAAACCATTGCAGTCTTGTGGTAGCATTTCTTTTAAATATGGTCACATTCTTCTTTCTAGAGCAAAGCAATTATGCTTCTATTTAGCCGATTTTCCCTCTGTAAAACCGATTTCCTTCTTCACAGTGTTTTATTTTCACTATCAGGTTGTACAGAGTTGTGTTTTGTCCCTTCCTCACTTTTCTTTAAACTTTAAATATAAAAGTTATATTATGAAAAATATTTAAGCTTGCAATAAATAATTTGAGAGCACTTCATTGCAGCAAGGAATATTTCCTAAATGAAAATGGAACTGCTTGCAGGTGTGAGGTATGTAATGGCCAAATTGGAAAGGATAATATTTGGAGCAACTAAGGGGTTCATATTTTCTCAGTTTGTTTTGCCGTCATAATGTATTGGAACTCCTTTATTAGCAGCATCTCTAACCAGATCATGTACATTCTGTTAAAACCTTTGAGATTTCTATATGTTATAAAGGCCTGGACTTTTTATATGCAAATGTAGACAATTGTGTGCTAAATTTTTGCATCACACAATTTTTATTCTTTTTTGGGTTTTCTGGATATTATTAAATAATATCTCATCCCACGGTATTCAAGTGATAATGTTCAGGGAAGACTTCTGCTCAGAAAAGAGTATTCTCAGCTTCTTAGCTTCTTGGGCACAAGCTGTTTACAAAGATCTTTGTTCAGGAATATTTTTAAAAAATGGGAGAATTGAGTGAAGATTCTTAAATTTTTTCAGAAGCCCAACTTAAATAGAGTTCATACATTAGCTATATTTTGTACTTATTTTGTGGTATATTCATGGCAGGGCGACTGAAATGCCAGAAGCTTTGGGAAACCTAAACTTACCTCTTGTTGGATTGTCACAAATGATGGAATAGTGTTTCTGCACTAGATGTAAACAGTTTAAAAATTCTGTTTTAATACTATAATCTTGGGTTTCTTCTCCTTGTTTTCCAGAACTGAGATATTTAAGAATGTTAGTCCTGAAGGTCCCAGATGTATGACTTACTAAGTGAAGAATGTTTCTTGTAATTGTATATCTAATTAATTATTCCTTCATAGTGTTATTGCTGCCAATAGCAAAACAGATACTATGCCTGTGGTTGCTAGAGTCAAATTATTTTATTGAAAGAAACATTTTAAAAACTATTTATCTTGTACAGATTGTACTGAGAGTTTCATTTAGCCGGTTTTCTGACATTGTGAGAATCAAGTCCAAAGTTCCTTTCTTCATATGTGATGGACTGGTAGGAAGATGGAAATTTACTATAATAATAATAATAATAATAATAATAATAATAATAATACTGCAGATGCAGACTGTAGCCAGGAAATCAGAAGACGCTTACTTCTTGGGAGGAGAGCAATGTCCAGTCTCGATAAAATAGTGAAGAGTAGAGACATCAGACTGGCAACAAAGATCCGCCTATTCAAAGCCATGGTATTCCCTGTAGTAACCTACGGATGTGAGAGCTGGATCTTAGGGAAGGCTGAGCAAAGGAAGATAGATGCTTTTGAACTGTGGTGTTGGAGGAAAGTTCTGAGAGTGCCTTGGACTGCGAGAAGATCCAACCAGTCCATCCTCCAGGAAATAAAGCCCGACTGCTCACTGGAGGGAAAGATACTAGAGACAAAGTTGATGAAGTACTTTGGCCACATCATGAGGAGACAGGAAAGCCTGGAGAAGACAATTATGCTGGGGAAAGTGGAAGGCAAAAGGAAGAGGGGCCGACCAAGGGCAAGATGGATGGATGGCATCCTTGAAGTGACTGGACTGACCTTGAAGGAGCTGGGGGGTGAACGGCCGACAGGGAGCTCTGGCGTGGGCTGGTCCATGAGGTCACGAAGAGTCGGAGACGACTGAACGAATGAACAACAACAATAATAATCTTTATTTATACCCCGCCACCATCTCTCCAATGGGTACTCGGGGCGGCTAACATGAGGCCAAGCCCAAAAATAATGAAAACAAGATGAGATACAAAAGTTATTGTATGTACTTATCTCCAAGATGTTAACTCCCAAAATTGTAAATGTAGATTTTGTAATGTTTCTAGAAGTGTTTTTGTTGAATATTATAAACAAACTAGAGAGTAGATATGGACTACTTATTAAGTATTTGACAATAGCGACAAAGTATTTTTTACTCAAATATGAAAATGGATGATGGAAGAATCCTTAAGATTTGCTTAGTTAAACCAAATAAGGTTGATGAGTTCACCCAAATAGCCAAATTAACTTCAGTTTCAAAGGATAAACAAATGTAAGACTTTTGGAAACCCATTGTAAAATGTTTATAGGATTTTTGAACAATAGGAAATCTAACTATGTGATAATCTGTGATTTTGGTCATTAGTAATATTAGTAGGGTTATTTAATTGTATTTGTAATGGTAGATTTTTTTTCTTTCACTTTTCTTGTTATTACAGTTGGCATTGTGCATCAAATCCTTACTAAGTATTATTTATGTGTCTTTCTTCTTCTTTTCACTTTTCTTTTTCAGTTTATTTTGTGAATTCATCTTATTTTGATTATCAGTTAGATTGTATTTTTTTAAAAAAAATAACTATAAAATGTTGTTTCAGTGTTTTAAAAAACAAACAATCAGGATAAGTGGGTGAATAACCAATAAGTCTGAAACTTAGACTTTTCATTTCAAAGAAAATACCTTTTTGTGAACAATTCTCAGAGAGAGAGAGAGAGAACATATGTTTCATTTTTGTTTGGCATTCAAGATTTTTTAATTAGCATTAAAAAAATTAAGGTCAAATGACTTGTTGAGGTTGTTGAAGTTAATGTAAGGATGCTCATGTTAAAGTGGAAATAATTCCAAACCCAAGCATCACATTATTTACCAGCACAAACAACAACACGTGACGCAATCATGCTAGGTATGCCTATTAAAATAATGACTTTTGAACAAAGAGTTTTTCACCCAAGAGAATATGGGCAGTTCCATCCTTCCTGTAACCACTAATTTATTTATCATGTCAGAAGTAAGTTGTAACCACTAATTAAATAATACTATATTATTATTGGTATTATGTAACCACTAATTAAATATCAATTAATACTACAAAATGCTGTTAACACAGGGAATCTAAATAGTACCACAAATCCCAGGTGATAGTTCTGTTAATGTGCAATCAGAATCAGGATAAAGACTTGCACTTGGGAGAAAAACTTCTTCCGTGTGGTTAAAGAGTTAGTTAAACATAAAGCTTTCAAGTTCAAGGGGCAGGAACGGTCTTACTGAAGAACAGCATCAAAGCTTTTCTGTAAAATATTGTTTTCCAGGAAAGGTGCTACCTCTATCCCTACTAAGAATGTTGTGTTTTCCTGTTTCTGAGAAATATTGACGTCATGAGGAATGCTGAAGTCTCTCTTTCTTTCGCTCTCCTTCTGTTGCATGTAAGAATGGAACTGCGTAAGTGCTATCTAGGAATTAAAGAAGTTCATGGCAAAACTCTCATTGTCTCTTATACTTTGGTTCTCACCCTTAGGCTGGTAGCTTGATATTCATCATCATTATGAATTAAGAACAAAACAGTTTCCGACTGTACTTGTGTGTGTGTGTGTGTGTATGCATGCCTACAGGTGGCCATGTCTTGTGTAATGCATCTACTTTAAATCTGCACAAAACAGTTGCTGTTTTTTGCCAGCTAGTCCATATGACAATTCAGAGACCATAAATCAAATTAGTAGTTTTGGGAGCTACAATTATATGACTCTGACATGACAGTAAATGTCACCACTTTCAAGAATTTCAGATTTTTTCTTAGAGTAAAATCATTTGGGTGGGCTTGATCTTTTTGAGAACTGCAGTACATGGGAAAGGAAGGTTTAATCCTTCATCCTTGTGGAAGAAATCCTTCACTGTGGCTGTCTGGTACTGTAGTCTCTAGGTGCTCTACAGTGACTTATCTGCTAATTTTCCCTAAATGAGTACAGCAAAAGATAACCTACCTTCTTTAGGAATTTGACTGGAATACACAAATAGTCAACTTTGGAATATTTAAGTGTTTAAAATTAGGAAAGTGTGGCAGCAAAAAAGACATTTTAACTGAATAAATGTTAACTGTAGAATGAGTTTTAGATGTAGACATAGGGATCTTCTGAAGCTAATGCTTGAACATATGGAAGTAGAACATTTCTTTGCATCTGACACTGGGATGGAAATTGTGCATAGCTATGAGTTGCACATCCCAGTGTAGCTATGAGTTACACATCCCAGTGTCCTTTAACATTGGGTAAGGTTGATGGGATTTAGATTCTGAGAATATGTGGAATGGCCACAGTTCCCATCCCTGGTACAACAGCATTAAGCAAAAGCCTTAGTAGGTGAACTTCCTCATGTCTAGCTTGTACTCCTTATTCATTTTAGCTCACTTCATCACCACCCCTAATGAATGTTCTAGTTCCCTGTTGGCACAGATCTGTACTTTTTGTCTTCCTGACTCTTTCTTCAGCGTGCCACGGCTGTTTTTCTCTAAATATATAAATATCCTTTCCTTTGTTCACTATTTAACTGATGCTGTTTACTTAGTTTGCTTCGTTTGAATGGAAGCAACATGAAGAGTTCAGCCTTAAGTGGTCTCTCTCACTCTCATGAAATGCAGATTTTTAGAATCTTTAGCAAATGTGCAACATTAATTCAAAGTTATATTTTAAAAAGTATTGTGTGTGTGTGTGTGTGTTAGTGAAAAATAGAATTCTTCTGTGGCAACCTGTCAGAGTCCTGTAATCTAATCTGTTCAACAGTGAGATTTTTTTCCAAGAAGTCAGGAAATGGTAAAAGGGCAAGCTTTCAAAGCTCCCCTGTTTAGTTTACAAATGCTTCTGTTAATTTAATGCTGCTAAGGAACTAAACTCTTCTCTCCCTCCCCCTCCTTTTCTCAGAATTTCATCTCTAGGAAATTAAGGGCACTGCAGAACTGTGAAGTGCTTAGATTCACAACAGGTAACTCCAAGTCTCTTGTCTGAAGTAATCCACTTCTCTGAAAAGCCAAGGGCAATAACAACTCCCCCTCCAGCTGCACACCCCAACCTTTTCATCCCAAACGTCTCTTATTGTGGAGTGTTTTATTTCATGCACATCACGGTAAGGATTTTGCTATGCAAAATGATTGCATAAAGGCAATATAAACTGCTGGAACTTGCAATTAGAATTGCTGAGACTTTGGATTTAGCCAGTGTTGTCTGAAATGTCCAATCTTTATAGGGGTAGGTAAACTCCAGCTATAAAGCTTCATGTAGCCCTATCTGAATTTCCAAAGTTGTTTCTGCAGCCCTGTTTATGGACTACCATTTCTTTGTGAAATGTGAGCGGCATCTAACCAATTGTCATTCAAACATGAGGTTAATACCCATGATCTTCATCTACATCTTTGGGAAACATTAATGGGTAAGTTTGAGCGACTGTGAGCACAAAAAACTTACCAAAATTAATTAACTAGTAGGCAAGATATTACACACACACACACACATTGGAGTTTATGTTGAAATTGTTCATTATCTCACATTTTGGAGTTGTCAAGACAGTATGATTGGATCACTAAGGAGAAATCCTTGTCTCTATACTCCGCTCCTGGTCTTCTTGGTAACATCAAGGCATGGAGATGATCCTGGCTTCTCAAAAAAGTCACAAGAGCATAAGCTTTGGCCGATTCTTCAAGGCTAGTAAGGCTTCAAGTAAGGAGGTGCACAGAATTCCTGCCATTGGAAGACCACCTCAGCTAAACACATAAAAGATTCACCACCAGAAGGAGAACCAACAAATCATGAATTGCCTCCAAAAGTTATGCATGGAATAGGTGCAGTCTGCAGTAGTGAAACAAAGCAAACAAAGCAGTCTCTAAAATTAAGGTATTCGAGTTCTTCAAATTGCCTACTAAAATTTCACAGACTCTGAACCTTGAAGCTATTTCCTTCTCTTGAAGCTCAGAATTTCGAAGATTAATATTAGCATCAGCATCTTTTCCATTTATGGGATCAGCACATTAAGAACCGATCCTTCACTTCTGTTGCCTTGGAAACTGCATTAATGAGGACTAATTATAACTGTGGGATCAGAATGCTGGGTGTAGTGCAAAAGACCAGGCAGCGCCTTGCAAAACAAACTCATTGTGATGCCTCCTTCAAAGCCTGCACGAGGTCTGCACTGACCATCAAATCAATGCAACAGCATCAACCAAAATAGAGCTCCACAAATGTTGTGGAAATAATTTTTAGAAATTTCCTTTCTGGCAGATATAAGTAAGTATGCTTTGTCGATGGTCTGAGCCATGCAGAACACTTTGTTCTAGGCATGTCACTAAGAATTATGTAGAAGAAAAAGACAAATGGATCTCTCACATTGCATAATTAATTATAGCTTGCTGATACCATTTTGACTGCCATGGCTGCATCCTATGGAATCCTGGGATTTATAGACTAACGAGGAATTAGAACTGTCAAGCTGAGAATTCTAGAGGCCACGTGAACCTTCCAATTGTAGGATTCATAGGATGCTAGCATGGTAATCTGAGTGCTAGAATTGTGTCCTGTGAATGTTTCTCTGGTTTTAGAACATAGTTGACTATATCTCTTTCTTTGTTAATTTGTTAATCAAAACCTGTTTTGTTTTGGGTTGGAGGCAGAGGAGGAAATTGACTACAGCATTCATGTTATTTCTCATACAGGTTGAGTGTCTCTTATCCAGAAATCGGAAATGCTTTAAAATCTGAAATTGCATATGGCTTCAAACTACAAGAAAGGAGATTCCATCTGAACGTTAGGAAGAACTTCCTAACTGTGAGAGCTGTTCAGCAGTGGAACTCTCTGCCCCAGAGTGTGGTAGAGGCTCCTTCTTTGGAAGCTTTTAAACAGAGGCAGGATGGCCATCTGTCAGGAGTGCTTTGAATGCAATTTTCCTGCTTCTTGGCAGGGGGTTGGACTGGATGGCCCATGAGGTCTCTTCCAACTCTATGATTCTATGATTCTATATATAGCCAGCTGACATGGCGATACCTTTGCTTTTTGAGTTACACAAATTTTGCTTCATGTACAATATTACTTAAAATATGTTTTCTATAACTTACTGTTATAGGAAGATAACGTATTACCTAAATGCAAATGGGCATTTGAATTCCCTCTTCCTTTTCTTTGTTTAGAATAGCATTTTTATGAAGTTCTTGCGCATATTACTTTCTTGCATTCTGACTTCAAGCATTAGTATCAGGTGTATGGCACTCTCCACATGACTAGCAATAGCTTGGCACAGAACTAACAAGCAGTGGATACTTCATGTACTCTTAGGGATTGGCATATTTAAAGCCTAAGCACTTCTCTGATGGGCTGTGGGTTTGGAAAGAAAAATAATATTAAGAAAGCCTGCAAGGAAAAGAATATTGCAAGGGATAGAAGAGGGAGAAGGAGAGATCGTGCATGAACATACCATACAACAAATTTAGTTAAAACGTTTTAACCTGGATGTGGGGGGACGGGGGACTTTTGGGCCTGTCTCTGGGCAGTTTCCTGATTGCCATCAAGGCGGAATTTCCATAAACAATATGCAGGAGTGCATAAGCAAGCAGTTGTAGAGTTAAGTCTATGCAAAAGCTGCTATTTGCTAATGGAATACAGTGGGAATGTCTCCAGTGATTCCTAAAAGGCCATATGTTCCTCGAAGTCCTGCCACCATAGCAACAGCTCACCGTTTGCTTTGTTTCCAGGAAAGCACTTATCTGTGCTGTTTTGCCTTAGCCTTTATTTAATTGGTAAATTCAGCTAGGAAAAGAGAAAAGTCACACTAGCAAAACATTTAGAATGCTTGCTAGTACTCAAGATGGGCAAATGAATGAATTATATTTCTGCAGTAAGAAACACAGAACTAAAGGCACTGTATATGAGAAAATATTTCCTATGTAAAATATATTGAGCAGTACTTTGAGATTATATATATAGTGTGAATTAATTCCCATTGTAAGGACCTCAAAGAGGCCAAATTAAAGCTTGTCCCAACATTTGTCTTGTCTGCTCACAATCCCTTATTGAACAGAATTGACAGTAATAAACAATGTAAATTAAAAATTATGATAAAAATCGTTACACACCTGAGTTAGAAGTGTGTTACCTTGTTGCGGTTGACACCACTACCATGATTCTATGGTCACTAATGCGAACTAATGCGATTCTATGGTCACTTATACGAACGAAGAAGCATTACTTAACGTTAATACAACACCACACTCTGCAAAAGCTGTGCAAGATCCTATGCTTGCTTTTTCCTTAGCAGGACAGCGTTAAAATCACTGATTTTGCTCAAGGAAAGGGGCTACTCTTAGGAAAGACTACAGAGAAGCTTGGAAAGGGGGTCAGACAAGGGCACATTTTAATTATCCTATTTAACTTGTAGCCAATAATGTTATACATAAAGCAGGATTGGATTCAGAGGAACTGGTACGATATGACTAGCAGAAAAACTTGGAAAAAATTATGAAGAAAGTTGAAGCAGAAATTGTAAGTTTCTGTTGAACATTAAGAAAACAAAAATTATGACCATAGATGATTTATGTAACTTTAACGAAGATGATGAAATAGTTCAAAGGTTTGCAGGTTTGTCTCAATTATAGGACAGAATGGAGATCATAGTCATGAAATCAGAATAAGACTAGGTTTAGAAGGATAGCACTGAAGGAGGTAGACAAGATCCTGAACTGTAAAGCTATATCATTGAATGATCCATAACATTGTATATCCCATTTCTAGATATGGTTTTGAAAGCTGGATAGTGAAGAAAGCTGGTAGAAGAAAAATCAATTCATTGGAGATATAGTGCTGGAGACGAGATTTGAGATACCATGGACTGAAATCTCTCTAGAAGTCAAGATGAGAAGCACACGACTCATTAGAAAGGACATTAATGCTTGGAAAAGTGAAGGGCAGGATGAAAAGAATATGACACATTCTGAATTGATATACTTAATAGGGAAGTTGGGTGTCCTAGAGGTCTCTCATTAATAGGTTCAGCAAAGATCAAAGTTTATTCAAAAGCAGCTATTATTATTATGTTTCTTTATACCCCACTTTGTCTCTCCACAAGGAGATTCAAAGTGATTTATATTAAAAGCATTTCAAGACAAATTTCAAATCTACAAATCTACAAACATTAAAACAGAATTAAACTTCAATAGCATTTTAAAATTCACAGTTAAAACAACTGCATTCAGTAACCAATCTGTCTTGGATATTGAATAACGGATTTTGAGAGAGAGGAATGTTGGTAAAGGGGCTGTTTGTATAGGGAATTTTAATATACGGGAGCACAGATGGAGGGCCCGGAGTATAGGAAGACTTTTTATGTACCACAAATAGATAATGCTGTTTCAAGAAAAAGCATTAAAAGCAATACTCCACACTATGGAGTATCAAATATTATGAACCCCGTTATATGGAAAACAAGTGGATTGGTAAACATGATAAAGACCAGAATCATATTTTGAAATCATCCAAGCTACATTTCAGCAGGAATATTTTATACTCTCTGCAAAGGGGTTGCCCCACTTCAAAGAAAAGGGGTTTCATGAGAGAGAAGTTTCGATTTATTATTTATTATCCTTAATGGTGCCACCAATTTGTGATGTGAGGTAATTTTGGGAGATTGGGCACACTGAACGCCGAATTAATGGAGATGAGGCAGTCTTAAAAATCAAAGAGAATATATTTATTTTGAAACAAAGCGTATGGTTGCAGTTTGGTGATAAACTTGGAAGATACTTGGAGAACGTTACATATATCTTGGTTGCGATACAGTACAGACTTCTGATGTTACAACTTATCAATAACTTTTGCTGTGGTGAAGCACTTTATTAAACAATGGTTCCTGAGGTGAATAGTCTTCCTGTTTGATCCTTCCGTGATCAAACCTCAGATCTCTAGTTCACTTTTAACTAGTGATCTAAACAAGCTTCTATTAGTCTTCTCTAACTAATGAAACTAATAAGGTTTCCCCTTCAGCCTTCCTAAACTGAAGAAACCTCTGACTATTCACAAACACTGCTTCTCTACTTCCCCCTCTCTCTCTCAACACTTCATTTCCCTGAGCCTAAAACCTGACTCTTC